AATTTTAGATGGAAAGCATTGTCTTTTCACTATTAAGTATAAGGCAAGGATGCCCACTCTCACTACTTCTATTCAAGATTTTGCTGAAGTCCTGCCTGAGGGAGGGAGGGGGTAGGTGAGGGATAGGGGGGTGTCAGTTGGGAGGAAGGAAAGCATACAGGGAGAAATTACAGGAACTGATGAGTAGGTTTAATGAGGCTGCAGAATATAAGGCCAATAAAAATAAAAATTATATTGCATTCTGTAATTATCAGTATACTCTATTTTATGTTTATTATGATTGACAGTAATTTTTTAGTGCTAAAATAATACATTTTTCAGTTTTCATTGATACTCCATTATTTCCTCAAGTGGCTAAAAAGAGGAGGCAAAAGTTAGAACTTAATGACTTTCAAATACTTATGAATTTGAACAACTTGGCAACATATTAGAACACAGATGTATTCAGGATACACTAAAAGAGTAATTTTTTTTTTCAAAAACACCAAACCACATAAAAAATAATCTGAATGAAAAATTATCCATTTTAGTACCCCCTTACTCTAAAACTTAAAGGACACTGACTTCCTAAACCCTTACCAAAAGACCAGATTTCAATCTCCTCTAAAAGATTTTCACTGGCTGCCTAATCATAATTTAACCATTTTTACTAAATGTTTACACATTATAGTAAAAAAAAAAGCTCTGTTGAAAGTTTCTTAAAATTACTTTGTCAATTACTAATTTAGAAGAGTTAGAAAGTGTAAGTTAAAAGTCATAGGTCAGTCTGTCCAAAATGAGAAAAATATGAGTAGAAACAGGAAATATATTGAAATAATAGTTTATATTATAAGCAATGTTCATCTTTATAAAACTGTACATACATGGCTAATAAGTTATTATAACAATCACTGAGTTCCAAAAGCACTACTCTATTACTAGTACAATTTGAGAAGCTTTGAAACACTTAAACCTATAGATGTCTCTGACTTTGTGCTCTGACACTTTAAAAAACACACGTTAGAATTTAGATCAGGTTCATAAAGATTACAACCCTGTCCTAGTGTCTGAATCCATGCTAGTCCAAAACAACACACTCTTGGTTCAAGAGATTCCTGAATTTAGAAGCCTCAAGTAAATACATACATCTTTTTCTCATAAATAACCTATGGGAAATTATTCATCTTCATTCTCACAACAAAAAAAGATACTTTCTTTGGCAAATAAAGAGGTGATTAATCAATTTCAGATGTTAGAGGCATTAAGTGATTCCATATTATAAGCAGCTGAAGAGATGAAGGGGGCAAAAGAATAAAATAGGTTGAATTTGGAAAAACTGGGAATTGAGACTGGGAGAAATGAATCAGGGAACAGCTGCTATGCTAAGTAAAATCAATTTAAAAGCTTGGAAAGATATGTGCTAAGGAGAATTACATAATGTAAAATATTTTACAAGAAAAACCCATCAATTCATTCTATCCCAATTTTACTGTTTTGAAATCCATTATTAAAATTGCAAATAAATATATTATCAAAATATTTAATCTCAATCTTGTAAATCATAATGTTTAAATATTGAAATCTTTCAAAAGAAGGAATCTATTTACTTTCCAAGATCTTGGATATGGACTTTGACTTTCAAGGAAGGCATTATAATATTGTACTTTAAAAAGCTATTTTATCCCCAAACCAAAAAAGTAATTATGTGAGATGCAGTTATGTTAATTAGCTTGACTATATGTATCAAGTTGTACATTTTAAATATACACTTTATTACACTATTACACTTCAGTAAAACTGGGGTGAAAGTCATTTCTTTTTAAAACTTCATTAATTCAGATACTACTAATGTGGATTTTGCTGTTTCTTGCGTGCAGAGATAAGATTAGCACTGAAGCGTGGAAGAGTCAGATAAAGTGAAGGTGTAAAGGTCGACCAACTAAGAATGAAGATCAAAAACTTTATTTACAAAATATTTTCAAATACTTAGAAAACCACTTTTAAAGGAAGCTATTCCAGTGTGCTTATTATAAATTCATATTATACTTAAAATATTTAAGAATTTCCTGTTTACACACACACATATATTTAAAGAACTATAATTCAGGGCAGCACGTGTGGCTCAAAGGAGTAGGGCGCCAGCCCTGTATGTTGGAGATGGAGGGTTCAAATGCTGCCCCGGCCAAAAACTGCAAAAAAAAAAAAAACCCAGAACTATAATTCACACTTTCTGCTTAAAGCCAGTGGACCTTTCAATTCCCCTATATCCAACACACAAACTCCACTTCTATTACGGAGTTAAATAAGAAAGGGGAAAGAAAGTGTAGGATTCTATTTTAATCATAGATTAATCACAGATTGCTGAACTAACTGAACCAGGAGTTAACAATATATAAACTACATATAAGTGTTTATTTAAAGTGTCCATGTAACTTAAATGAAGGACCAAATTACAAATCCATTCATGCAAAAAGCTAACATTTGTTTTTTTATTAAGCTAAAACTTAAGTTCTTTCCCAGCAAAAAAGAATTCTAAAACAAATACTACACACCTTTTTAGGTTTATGGCTTTAAAAAGCACTCTCTACAGATGTTTAATTTTAAAATGATTTATCACCACTCTAGGTACTTATCCTACAACAAATGCACAAAGTTACGTACAAGGATGTTCTCTGACAGTGCTGTTAAGAATGGTTACTGTCCATTTAAAGAAAAGTTGAGTCGACTACGGTACGCCATCATGTCAAATATGAATTTTTACTACCTAATACTTTAAAAGACAGAAAGGATCCGTTTTACTGCCATGGAAAGATCTCCAAAATGTAGTGTAGAAAAAGCAAGCTGTAAGCAGTGCTTCCAAAAATGACACCAAGTTGCTCATTCATAGTCTCTCATATTCTCTCTCTCACACACACACACACCCCTACAGCATTTTCATATGTACATATGAGCTTATGAGAAAAAGGTCTGGAAGAGCAATTAGAAAACAGAAAACATTATTACCTCTAGAAGAAGGGGTCTGGAATTGGAAAGGGAGGGATCACAGGGATTTTTTCCTTTTTATTGAGTTTTTACAAGGAGAATGTATTCATGTTATTTGAAATACTAAAAAGCAAGAATTTAGAAATTGCAGGCTAACCTCTCTTGAATAATTTACAAACCAGAACTGTTGGCTGTAACGAGATTTCATTTTCTTCGATTTACTTGATATCGAAAATAACAGCCACAAATAATTTCTTCCAACACGAAGTGACAAATTGGAAAGAAGAAAATTTTAATTCGATGCTGTCTGCCTTACCTCCGAATAGAAAGAAAAAGTAATGAAGAGTGCACTTCTAAGAAACAACTTTTTAGTGGACGCAGGCATGACCCAGAAGCCTCACAAAACAATGTTACCCAAAACCAAACCAAAAATAAAAAAAAAAAAAAGTGGAATACTGTTCCCTCAAGTATTGAAGGTTGTTTTTAGAAAGCTTAACTAAGAAACAGTAAATGCCAAGTGTGTTTTCAGGGGGTGGGAATAGGAACGTGAAACCCTACACCACCTTGAAGCGGTCAAAACGAACTGCACAACACAGCGAACCCGGAGCGCGCGGGGGTGGGGAGAGCTCTGCTACCACTTTTAGGTGTTGGCTCAGCGCCGCACAACAGTTTACGCCGAGTCTGTTCCGAGCATGAAGTCCCTGAGGGTGATCACCGTGTCGCAGCCCACGCCTAAACCCTCCGGAGACTGAAGTGGTCGGTGGTCAACAAAAACTTAGGTTCTCGGGTTGAACGGAGGAGAGAGCGCCGGAGAAGAGCGAAAGCGCTAACTTTTGCTCTAAACGCGGCGGCTCCGCGAGTCTTCTCCCGAGTCCCCAACCCAGAAGCGACCCCAACACCTTCTCAGGCCAGTACGTTCTGCCGTGGCCCGGCTCTTCGCGGAAAACCTAGCAAGGGCGGCGGCTCACAGCGTGCACCGGGGGCTTAGCAGTGGCAGGTACCAGGCGCAGGGTTCGGAGGCCGAAGCCCCACACAGCACCCCAGAGACTGGGGCGCCCCTACCGAGGTGCTGTCCCACCTCCAACAGCCCGGGCGTCGCGCCCCCCCTCCCCCAACCTCTGGGCGGGGACCTCAGCGCCCCCGCCCCGGGGCCCTCGCTCACCCAGGTAGCGGCTCCGCAGCCGGGACGGGTCCTCCAGCCCGAGGGACCTTTTCCTCACGTCCCACAACAGGTGTGGGAAGGAGCCACCCCGAGACATGGCTCTGCCAGAGCCGGGGTAGGAGGGGAGACCACCGGTGGGGGAGGGGAGGAGGGGGAGGGGACACGCGGATCAACACCCGAGCCGCACCGGCACCATCCGCGCGCCGGGACTCGCGGTCGCAGCGTTAGATGGCGGTGGCGGTAGCGGCGGCGCCGCCTTCGCCCCTGAAGCCCGGCCGCACCCGGGCCGGAGCTCGCCTCATACTCTCCTCAGACTACCCAGAACATCCAGAGATCAGCAACAGTCTCCTCCCTCGGCACCCCCTCCTACGGGAGGAGGCGGAGGCGGAGGCGGTCGCAACTCCTCCCTCTCCCCGTCCTGGGCACCCTCCCTGCCAAGCTTTTCTCGCGAGATAATGACCACCCTAGAAATGAAGCCAGTGTGCGCTACGACTGCCCTCACCCTGGAAAAGTGGTGTCAGGCTTCTGCAGCCTAATTCTTAATCTCTGTGGGTAAAAGGCGAGTAGAAAGACAAGATGCTGATGTCTGTAGTCTCTCGTTCACGAGTATTAGTTGAAAGGGAGAAAGAGAGTTGTGCGGCGTCATCTTTAGTGGGGGCACGGAAGACCTGAAAAGCCCATTTTAACCACGGGCCTCCTTAGTCAAAATGACGGGCACTAGATTAGGTATGGCTTCACTTGCCCTTCTCCAACATGGCCTTTAGGACAGGAAGGAGAAGTAGGAGGTTCCGGCTCGACCTCGTCCGCGCCTCGGGGCAAGCCAATCAAGGAGGGCAATTCCGGGTGCGCAAGCGCGCTACCAGCAGGGTTCTGGGTGGACTGGGTGAGGCAATGTCTTTGGCACCTGTTGCCATGACTCCTCCTCAGTCTCCCTTGCCAGAGGGAAGGAGGCTGGCCTGGGGCGGGTCGTCCGGGAGCCTCCGCCCCCTCAGCCTTTGCTGGGCGCGAGCTGCCTGGTAGTTCACAGCGGGGCAGTCGTAGCTTCGGGAAGGGTACTCGAAGGGAGAGGCGGGCGCCAGGCTCTGCGGCAGAGGAAAGTGACTGGCTGCCCTTCGTTGTCACCCAGGGACGAAGACACAGCCACCCTTCTACCCGGCTGCCCACGATCACTTGGCGGCGGAGATGTCTGCTGCCAGCGGCCGAGGCCTGCGGGCCACCTACCACCGGCTCCTCGACAAAGTGGAGCTGATACTGCCGGAGAAATTGAGGCCGTTGTACAACCACCCAGCAGGTAATGTACCTAGAATGGCTCCCACCGAGACCATCTCTCCCTCTCCCTCTAAAATGGACCTTTTAGCGGCCCACTGACAACTCTGAGACTGTAGGCGTCCCACAGCCCCAACCCCTAACGCTCAAGTGAATCGGTCTCCGCTCCTCACCTCTCTGCATTTTACCTTCTCTGGTCAACGTCTCTCATAAACCTCTGAATCTCAAGTCACCGCGTTTCCTGACCTTTGTTGAATTGGTCCCCTTAATGCTCGACTCAAACCCAGACCTGGCCTCCAGATTTGAACCTTCTCAACTTCTTCGCCCACGAAAGGGACTGAGGCCACCATGAAACGTTCATTCTCCTCTTTCCTCCCCCACGAATTGTGGTGTATTAACCCACGCTGGATGAAGCTGGATAGGTGGCTTGTCGCACTGGAGAGTTTGAAGTAAAGGTCATACTTATTTAGCTCCTGCTGGCAGAGGTCTGCAGATTAAGCCCTCCTTCAAACCGGATGCTTTACCCAGATTTCAGTCTCAGTATTATTCCTCATCCCATAGGTCCAGTTTGTTTTTTAAAATCTATGCTTATTTATAGAATTATTGAACAAGCTCTATCCGAATCTTTCTGTGTGGACAGAACTGGATATAATTCTTTCTACCACTTACATATAGTTGTGACCTTGAGCAAAATTCCATATCTCCGAGTTAGTTTCTGTAAAATGTGGTCTGCATGAGAACTAAAGATAACATACGCTTGATTCTTCATAAATGCTCAGTAAATGTTAGCTTTCTGGTCCTTCTGGAAAAACAGTGTTCTTGTGGTTGAAAAAAATAATTCTGTAAGAAACTGGAAGATTCCCAGGAAGTAATAATTACTTAACTAGAGACTAAAATCAGATGTATTCTGAGGTCTCCTTCAAGCATAAGACTTAACAAATGAGAAAATCTATTATAAATTATAAGATTGAAGTCCTGCCCCAAAAGTGCCCTTTTCCCCCTACATAGTTGAATCTGTATTCTGCAGCTAGTATCCTTAGGAAGGTTGTCTAGTTCCCACATGCCCTCCCATTATCTGACTTTGAAGCTCACTCTGCTTAATATACTTCACTACAGTCTTGAACTCAGAAAACTGATCTTTAAGGAGAGGTTGTTATTGGTAAAGGAGTTTTAGGTTATTTGGCATTTAGTTTTTTGGAATTGTGTTGTATTTTGTGGGAAAGATTAATATTCAATGGTTTTGCATACTATTTTGCATCATAGTATTTGTTATTGAATTATTCTTTCGACACTAGTCTACGTTAACATACAAGGGATTTTTTTAAATGATACACAAGACAATATTAAGAGTTGGAAACCATACATTGCTGATTCTAAATTTTTGAGATTTAATTTTATCACTGACAGATATGTCTGAAACGGTAACAAGAATATGTTTTTATATAGGCATATTATTATAGTTAGAGCATTGTCTCTCTGACCTGGAGCCCAGAATTTTGAGGCTTTCCTCATCCATTTGCCTGTGTGCTGTTCCTGGCACATTATAATCTGCCTCTGTAGAGGAAAAAATAGAGTTGTTCTAGCCAAATGTGTGTCCTAGTCAAGTTCCTTAACTTGAGTAAGATGTCATTCCCCCCACTCCCACCACCTGACTATAAAAGTATGTGATACTGATATTTTTTCTGTTTGATACAAAGCACTTGTTAAACTAATTTAAGTTTTCTTTTTATAGTTTAAAATTATTCATTAACTAAAATACCTCTCTCAGTCCAGGTTTAGCAACTGTAATTTCACATTTGAAAGTTTTTGTTTTTGTTTGGTTGGGGAGAAGGGGAAGTTAATATTTTAAAACCATCGCATAGCTCTGGGCAGTTGAGTAAATTAGTTACCAAGCAGGCCTACTGAAAAATTGACCGTTAGCCCTAAAAGTTCAACCATTTAAGCTTGTAAAGAGACCAGAATCTAGAGGCATTACTCAGGAAACAATTTTGGTGTAGCAGAAGAAAAAACATCAATTTTAAAACAAGAAAGGAGAAATCCACTGAAGAGTTCAAAGTACAGATGAATACCCATTCAGTCTGAGACCAAAATAATATGCTGACTTACTCTTCAATGATGAAGGAGCTTCATGCAGGGATAAAAAATAAACTTAGTAATTGATACTGCTTATGAGCCAGACACTCTATGTATGTTAAAGAAAAATGAACCAGATGTTATGAGAGGAGTCTGAGAAGCTCGACCTAGGTTAAATTTGAAAAGATTAATTTATATGATCAGTGCATTATGATATCAGACTCAGAGGAAGAGTGCCATCGTCTAAGAGTAGAGGAACTAAATCTAATACAGCTTCCCGTTTTAACCTGATGCCCCCTTGAAATGAGTAAATAGCAAATTCCAGGGTTGAGGATGAAGCAATGTCAATGCAAATAATCTGGATCAGACATAAAGTTTGAATATTTTTGATTAGCATCTATAGGAGTCATGTTTAATCCAACACAGTTCTGTTGGCAAATATTTATTATTTGTCAAGAAAGATTAAGAAACAGGCATTGTCTTCAAGGAAGCTACTCTCTGATGAAAGTGACAGATACATAAATAATCATTTTAGCTAGTGCAGAAAACTATAGAAGAATATACCCACAAGCTGCATTAGTAGTTCAGAGAAGGAACATTTAGCCTAACATAAAAATTTTTAAAAAGACTTCTTCGAAGAGATGAAACCTAAGACAAGTTTTTGAAGAATAGCGTTAGATGAAGACAAGGCAGAGTTTCCAGAGGGGACAGCTTAAACTAAAGGGTAGAGTAAGGTGACCAGATTTTAACATTGGTAAAGCGGGACACCATTGACCGGGGAGGGGAGGTTCTTAATTAAAAATTTGGTCTGGCTCGGTGCCTGTGGCTCAAGCAGCTAAGGCGCCAGCCACATACACCTAAGGTGGCGGGTTAGAATCCCCAGCCCAGGCCCGCCAAACAACAATGATGGCTGCAACCAAAAAATGGCCTGGCATTGTGGCGGACACCTGTAGTCCCTGCTACTTGGGAGGCTGAGGCAGGAGACTCGCTTGAGCCCAGGAGTTGGAGGTTGCTGTGAGCTGTGATG